AAATTCGGCAATAACAACGGCCCGCTTGCATGTTCTACAAAAAGAAATGTGCTTTAGTGGGTATCTGACAGACAAACACCAAACCAGTTCCACATCACTGAAGTGGCACCATTTTTACAAACCAAATCTGGTTCATCCTGACTCAACGATCCGCTTTCTCCCTTCTCATTCTCCGTTGCCGCCATGCTTTTTCGGCCATGTGTGTATGAAAACAAAGGCACTGCGCATGCTCGTTTTACCCATATTCTATCGCGATATTTCATTTTCTTATCGTTGCCTAACATTGTACCGGTATTATCGTGAACGGTATAATATGGCCCAGCCCTACTACTAAGTAATACATTTCGCCTAAATGTTGTCCAAGTCCCTTTCTGATCAGTCTGTTGAAATAAACCGTTTATATACAGTACAAGTTAATATACCCCAGCACATTTCATTAAAGTTTACAGAGATAAAACATGATCCCCCTATAGAGGGAAGACCAAATATAAAGAAGATGTTAATTAGATATGTCTTTACACAAGGCTCAAACAGCATATCTCTCCCTCTGAAATACACTAATAATAGGATTAACACAGCACGACTACGACAACACAGTTTGCAATCATACTTGTAAAATGTTACTGATACCAATCTATGCCTAAAACGTCTGTGCTGGGAGAAGGATGAATAAAGGAGATTTCTATTTGATTTTTTCCCGAAATATACAAGTTTCATCTTAATATCTAGATAACCAAGTTTTTCCATTATAGTCACTTATCTAATGTCATATATTTTACTATGCATTCATGCTTTAAGGAAAAAAAAATCTCATTTGTTAATATCAGAGAAGAGATGCTTGTGATAAAGTAATAAGATGATAGAGTTTGATGTTTCTTCTTTGTAATGATATCTCTTATTGAGGACGAAGAGGAGGAGTGGAGTTGCTTTCATAAAGGGATGCCGTTTCCATCAAATGGTCTATTCCATCTTTTATACCCACAACGTGTATATCTTGCAGACCTGCAGAGCCATAAAACATGATGGTGCTTCTGGTCTCTTTCTGGCAGCATGTCTCACTCATTACCTATAGTAGTGCAGTCATTAGAAAATAAGGGTCGCGATACGGCTGTTCGCAGCACTGGAAGGTGTTTGCGTGGCATTCAAAATGTATCATGCACAAAGGCCTCTGTTCCCTCTCTCACCACCAAACAAACACGCACATGCACACAAGTGCACACACACAAAAAAAAAAAAACACTTTTCTGAGTTGGAGCTGGAGAAAGAGCTAGGACTATTGTGCCTCACCATGTAAATTAGTTGTTTACTTCTGTTCCCTCCCGCACTCACTCACATCATTAGCCACCTAAATATAACAACCGGCTGCCACCAATTTCCATCATACAATCTCATTTCACTGGTAATGACAGAGTACATACACCAATAAACTGATACCCTAAAACAAGGTGAATGGCGGTGTCGAGACAAGAATACTTATGAGCACAGAAATGTAATTTGTTGTTTGGGTTTTTCTTTTTTTCGTGTCTTTTCAGTGTTTTCTCGCCACTTACAATTTCTCTATTAATTATGCCATTCTGTGTGCTAACTTGGTCTGGCAATCCCTGGTCATTTGGGCTGTGCTAATTTCAAAAAGGATTTCACAGGGATCAGTCTTCACAAAAAGGTTTATGATAGAGAGACTAATAGAGTGAATGTAACCAAGGGGACTGTGGATAGGACAGCGAGGTGCATACTTTCTAATTACTTCTGTTTGAAGCGCATGATAGTTAATTAATCTACACTGTTATTATGTTATTCCAGAGAACCACTTGAGTCACACCATATTCAATTAGAAGTCTTACGGAGAAGGAGGGTTCACTCTTATATTGTGACAGGCAACTCATTACATCTATTGCTATTTGACGAATCAATACAGACGTGATTGGGAAAGTTACGCAGGTCCCATTTGTAACCACAGAGAATAATAACAGTAATCATGTGCCAAATATCAAACTAGGAGCACTATATTGATTCTATGAAGTTATTTTGAGTCCCCCTCCCCCCCATTGATTATGTTTGTATTTGAAGAAAATAAAATAAAATAAAAATAATAAAATAGAAAATAGTAGAGATGCACAAAATCAGAATTGGTCTACTTCATGCACAGTGGTGGAGGCAAACAGCTGTCCACACAAGTTCAACAAAGTAAATATAAGTAAAGTAAAAAGGTAGCTAAAGCAACTGGTGTGTCACACACACACACACACACACACACACACACACTTCAATAAAAAGTATGTAATTTACTAGTTGATGTAATGCTGCATAAAAAAATAGAATAAACAAAACACTTAAAAGACAATTTTGAATTGATTGTATGCCTGTTGCTTATATCTGACAGGAAATATGTGCAGTATTTTGGTCTTGCTGGTATAACCTTTTCCTCTTTATTATTAATAGATATCTTGAACTGTTAAGAGAAATGTAGAAATTTGTTCGAGTGAACCATCCTCTTTGTAGCTTTGGATAAAAACATGGAAGATTAAGTTAGATTAACTGGTGCTTCTATAGTGCTTTTCCACGCTGAGCTTTGAAATGTTCTTTACTAGAAGCAACATTCACTGATTCATACACACATTTAATACAGCACTTTGATGTATGTGTTTAAGCACTCTATAGCTACCACTCCAAGCGATGCTTTCGAAACTGAAGGAGCCAGGGATCAAACCACTCACGTTCGCATTAGTGGATGGCTTGCGACACCTCCAGAGACACAGCCACCCATTTAATTAAAAGACCTCACATTCCATAGGAGGGAAAATATTTTAGCTCTCCAAATCCAAAAATGTAATATTTTTGAACATTTTTATAGTTTGCAGTTTACAAGAGAAGTTGAAAATCTTGAAATTTAAGAGAAATGCATTGAGTGCATATGTAATAAATTCCACTTACCTACTTCCACCTTCAGTAGGAACTGTTCTGCATTTATGCTCCAAAAATTAATAATAATGTCATGTAATGATGCCTATAAAAAGGACCAGTAGTAATTCCCCAGTTTTTCCCTTGAAGACCACAAAACAGCCCAACTGAGCATGGTTTGATTTGGCCTAAAAACATCATTTTCTGATTCTGATCTTGACCTCTTTAATCATTACTGTATAACACACTGTTGATCTCCAAACACAGCTTATGTTGTCAAATACAAACCCACGAAGACCACATTTGTCAAAATTCAAGGGCTGGGAGAACCTCGGGGATGGATTTCCACATTAGTCTTTTAAGAGTATGTCTGCCCTGCCAGAGGCTTCAACACACTGAGGGGGGCCTTTATTATCTTGGTCCTGCTCTTCAAGTGGGTCAAAGGTTAATTTATTGAGTCCCTGGGTGAAAATGGGATACAATGGAAGACAATTTGTTCTTCTCTGCAGAGCAAGCAAGCCCCAGCTGACATATGAAACCTAATTAATACGAACAGAAGGAGAGGAAGGATTTTACGTCTCGGTCGTTGATAATCAAACAAAGGGGAGAGAGATGGACAAGCTGTCTACCTCCTCTTCCTTCAGTCTCCTCTCCATTTTACTCACTTGTCGTGTATGACACGAACCTACGTCTCTCTCGCCGTCTCTCGTTTGCGCTTCCTATCTCTCACTCAGAGACAAGAGAGGTTCGAGAGCACAGGCAGGAAAATCAATCAAGATTGGATTGATAGTGTAAACTGACAGGCCAAAGAGGTAGCAAACCATGATACATGAGCAGATTAGGACTGAGTGCGCCTGCAGGAAATGAGTGTGACTAGACATTGCAGAAAACTAGAAAACAGGAGCAGAAACAAGTGACCATAGCTTGATTAATATAATCACTTCAATTAGCATGGTCAGCAAAATTTTTTTTTTTTTTTTAATTTGACAAATAACCAAAATTATGAAGACTGTTAGGCAAAGTAGCCCCAATACTTTTGATCATCATGCAGACGATCTTGAACAAATTTAGATTGTAATGCAAAACAAGTACAAGCTATGTAGCTCTACACCTAAATATGAATCTAAACCAACAAGTTTTCTGCATTTCTGCCTTGCAAATGACTTTTTGCACTTGTGTAAATGGGCACTGTCAGCCTTTATTCTGTAATGTTGCTGTCAATTTCTTGATATTTGTTTAGAATCACATCTACAAACCCTGAATATTTATTACTCGGTGACTTGTATATATTGTGCTATTCCTCATATCTTAACATATTGTGTTGATAAATAGTCTAGTTTGTTTTTGTTGATGCTACTGTACTGGAGCAACTGTAACCCACATAATTTCCCTAGGGATTAATAAAGTATTCTGATTCTGTTTCTGAAGAGTCACCATAACTTTAAAAAGAGAGTTGCTGCCCCTCATACAAAGGTTTAAAGAGGGACGTGTCTTTTCTGGTATGGTCACAATTAAAAATGAACCACAGTTTGTTTAGTTCTGTGAGCAGCCGAGTTCATTAAAGCTACAATTTTTTTTATCATTTAGTCCCAGTGCCTATTTAAAAATCTAGAATTGCAATACAGCAACACTGTGATGTTCAACATTATTCAAAACAATTATCTTTAACACATCACAATATCTGTTTAACTCAAAGAAGAAAAAAATGCAAAAAATTTTAAGCGACTAACATTAACCAATTTCAAGGCTGGATTAATTTAATGCATCTCTTCAGGTTTTTGCCTTTTCCCTGCTCTCAAACACTGTGCTTTGTAGACATTTGAAAAGTGCCACCACGAGGAGTCATGAAGTACTGACACAAAGTGGAAAAGTCAATACATTGGCACCAGTGTATTGATAATGTCTCTGAGAAAATAAAACCAAAAAACATTCCAATCCCATCAATATTTTGTCCCCCTAGATTTTACGCAGTTTAGAAATGCTGCAATAATTTCTTTTTCATTGCTTGAACCAATGTGTCACTCTACTCCAAGAGATCAAAACAAGGTAACAAGATTACAGCTGAACACAGACTCGCTGACCTGCTGTAATTAGTAACTGACCTTCATGCTCCCGCTCTGAAACACCAGTTTTTCTCATCTTCTTAGGAGTTTTCATGAAAAGCGGGAAGATTGTTCGCAACCCCAAGATGTCCACAAATTTATGGCAGTTATCTGTTCCCTCTGGTCCAATCATTCCATGGTCCAAGACCTTCAGAGCACTGGTTCGGGACATCTTCTTTTCTCTGCAGGATAGAGAAGAAACACTGAATAAATCTTAAATGCAGGCTTTTTTATTTTGTCCTGGAAAAGTCTAGCTAACGGTATTGAGACACCGATAACAGACATGCCATTTTTTAATGCATTTATATCTACATGAAATTTCAGCCTTGAGGTGCATGTTCTTATTTCTAACAGAAAAACAATATATATTTATTCCTGCAGTGACTGAGTCAAACAACATGGATTAAATTGGACCATAGCTTTACATTATCACTAGAATTAACAGATACAAAAAAAACAAGGTATTTGACAATTATGCTGCTGGAAATTTTAAGCACTTAAAATAATCAGTGGAGTGCATGACGAATTACTTGTGCAAACACTTTTGTTATCGAGCACCATGTAAAAGGGATTTCAGCATTTGCTTCTGGCTTTTGGAATGTTCTCTTATCTGCAAACAAAACATACAAGTGATCCTGATCTAAAATAAAAGAATACTTTTTTCGCTGTTCTCCTCAGCGTGAGGTTTGTGAATTTACTGACAAATACTTGGCGTTTTTGCATGGCAACTTTAAACTTCTGTAGTGGTTCAGAAAATTCCTCAAACAGCTGCCTGACAATCCTTGCAGCACTGTTAAAACAAACTTTCTTTATGGTAGCTGTAGGTGTTGTTGACAGTTTAGCAGTGCATAAACATATAATATTATCTTTCAGTATCTATATGACTGTCACATCCCTCGAGTATCTCTCTTCAAAGCCAGGGCTTGGTCTAAACAACTCTTAGTATTTCATAGCATTTTACAGACTAAAAATCATATCTTACAAACACACAGCTGCTTTATATTTGATTCACAACAAATAAGTGCAGTTTTAAAGAGCTGATTTGTACAAGTTGTAAAACAACACTCACAGTATTAAGCATGAGAGATTTGAGACGTTCAGGAACGTGCAAGCTTGCCAAGCAACAATGAAATGTTGCCTATATTCTCCACTCACATCATTTATTAAGTTGTATATCACTAAAGGCTGTCGGCCCAATGTAATGCATGAAAAGTCATATATGCTTTTACTAATAAAAGAAAACGAGTAAACACGACAAGATGAATTGTCATCTGTTTTTCATCATCAATTTATTGTAGTAATAACGAGGATACGCTGTTCTCTTCTCTTTGCATCAACCCCGTCTGCTCTACACACTTCTTGTAGGAAATGTAGCTGTCTATCAAAGTGTCACTTCCTCCATTCCCACCAATGACAGATGACAGTGTTTATCTCACAGGAGGGACACATATTTCAGGCAGTTGTGTCTGGTTCTGCAGACAGACACATTATATATGATGGACGGCAGTGAAGGGCAAGGGGGAGCGATATGCAGTGTACTTTCAGAAGGGAACCTTCTGAAGGGAAGCCAATTCAGCTAGCAGACAGCTGACTTAACTCAAAGTCCTGGTGTCATGAACTACTCTGCTGTCACATAAAAAATGGATTGTGGGTTGTATCTAGTGGATACAAGCATGACAGCAGCAGTATGTTTTCGATTTCAGTCAGATTCTAGATTAAACTAAACCCGAACAAAGTCAAAGAACCTGGAAAAGAGTTTATTAACCTGTGCAAGACAGTTACGAGGATTGATCAGAAAATGGCTACATCCCACTGGAAAAGATAGGGAACTACATTAATAAGAACTTATATGAATGGTGATGCATTTAAAAGTCTTACTGTGTGTTTGTAAAACTGCTCTGATAAAACTGTTTCAGTGGCGGGTCTAACAAATATTTCGCTCTGCCAGGAATTCATCAAGACACAAGGTCTCAAATCTTTTATGTTATATGAGGCTGAAGAGGTCTGAAATGAGCTTTTGATCGAAGCGTCACAGTGAGTAGAGCAGCTTTTCATTTTTTTATTATTCTGTTTATCTTGGTTACTTTGTAACTCAAAGATCAAAAACACTACATTTTGTATGATGTGGGGTTATTTTGTTAGGCTTGTTGGCGGTTTACCATAAATAAGGAAAATATAAGTGATCCGGTGTTTAAAGTGAATCTTTATTATAATTTACATCTCTCTTTTAAACCACACCTAGCTTTTTTTTTTATGATTCACAGTTCAAAATTATCCTTATTCATATTATACTGGACCTTAGTGCAAAGCCTGATGGCTAATCTAACAAAGCCTTCCGGAGGAAACCTTCCAGAACGCCAACCATTTCTGCAGCACTCCACTAATCACTTTTCAAAATAAGGCACATGACAGCCCTGCTGGAGTTCAGCAAAAGGCATAAAGGACGCGCTGACCATGATAAACAAAATTCACTGGTCTGATGAAACAAAGACTAAACTCGCTGGCCTCAATGCCAAGCGTAATGCCTGGAGGAAACCAGGCACCACTCATCACCTGGTCAACAGCATCCCTACAGTGAAGTATGGTGGAGGCAGCATCACGCTGTGGGGATCTTTTCTGGCAGCAGGAACTGCAAGACGAGTCATGTTCAAGGGAAAAACACAGAAACATCCCCGGTAATAACCTTCTCCAGAGCACTCTGGTTAATCTTCCAACTAACCTAAGCACACAGCCATGATAACAAAGGGGACATTCTGAATGTCCTTGAGTGACCTAATTAGATCCCAGATTTGAACCCTATTAAACCTCTCTGGAGAGATTTAAAAATGACTATGCTCCAACGTGCCCCATCCATCCAAAAAAGTAGAATGGGAGAAACTGCCCACTACTTGTAGTTTTGGAATAAAACTGCGCCCCCCCCCCCAAACAAATGTTTCCATCATCCCTCTGCTGCAGATGTGTGTGTGTGTCTCTATATCTATCTGTCTGTATGTCTATAGATATGAATGAATGAACAAAAGAACATAAATGTAATATTTGAGAGGTACATATCCAATGCAGGCTAATAGCTTGACTATGATATTGACATGCAATGTTCCCTCTAATTTTTCATGTGTCTAAGCAAACATAAACTCCCTGAGTGGTCCCTTGGACCACTGTGAGCAACAGCAGACATGTGCACTGTGGTCACGCCAGCATC